AATTTACTTATCTCGACTCGACTTTGGTGGTTATTCCCAGCACTTTCACGTTCGATGATATTATCGAAACCATCTAGAACTCAACAAGCGAATCAAATTATAACTGGAATGTTTCCATTGTATTTTAACACAAGAATACGGAAAATTTATATCAAAATATGGTTATTTCATTTTTTAAAAAGTTAAACAAAGAAGCCACTTGTTACCAAATTTTAGTTTGTAATTAAATTTATTTAATTAAATATTATCTGTGTTTTTATTCTAACCAATAATATAACTAGATTATTTATAATATTATTAAAAATGGTACACAACCCTCAGACTATATAGGTATTATGCCAGACCACTTTGTGTTTTGAAACCCACTTTGTGTTGTGTTTACCGCACTACCGCACATGATTGCCAGAGTGGTGGCAGGAGAAACAAGGAATCAATTCAACACGGCCTTAATTATAGGCTAATTATAGAGCCTTCAATTTCAAACACATTTTTCTTATCATATGCTCTTATTTTTTTTTTCATCATTATATGATTAACATTTCCTAAACTTTACGATTTTCAACTTTTTTTTATATAATAGTCCATCTCTGAGACAACAAAAACGTAAATAAATGGAAGATAAAAGCAAGAAAGACAACCCTAATAAAGGAGTCAGCTAGTAGGCCTAATTCTCTCCCCCTAATTGACTTCTATTTTAAATCCATGGTGTAATTTTCTTGGTCTATATTTCTTTGAACATTTCAATGATTTTTTTCTTTATAATCACAGAAAGCCCAACATAGAAAAAACCTCAATAAGTATACCGGTATTGATAAATAACAGTTTTAAGCAAAATATGGTTGTTTTGGGTAATTCTACGGGGCCATACGATGATATTATAACCTCCTTTGTCGGCCACATTACAATACACAATATATATACTTTCTAGGACCAATCTATGAGACTATTTTGGTATCCATTCGTTATCTAGATTACTAATATTGGATCTATGCTATTTCCTATCAATGCATTGGCCGAGAAAGTTCATCAGGATTTTCCAGCGGGGGTTTCCCTTTGTCAGTGGTGCAGTTCAAACGGAGTGCCTGAGAAAAACAGATGTCTAGTTATTCAGATGGGACAAAAAAAACCCCAAGGTCCGTGTGTCCCTTGGCTGTTGAAAGTCGATAGATGTATAACAATAGGCCATAGTTCCGCTGCCTGGGCAAAATTTCCCTCATAGCACATTGTATGGCATATGCCCATACTTATCTAAGCATTAAAACAATCAACCATTTGTGGTTATATTGAAATCTGTAAAGGACGCATTCTTTTTGAATATATTTCAAAGTAGGTTTTGCTTCATTGGGAAAAAAAACATATTAGTAACGCCTTTTCAACAAGCAATTGTTATACTTTTAGTGATTTGTAGAGCGCCAAATCACAATGTTATTGTATTTTTTTAAATTGTAGATTTTATTCATTCATGTAAAACATTTATTACAATTTTATAATAAAATGTATAAAACACTGAGTTCTAGATTCAAATCACAAATCCACCTAAGCTAGAAAACTGCAAATCCGAATATTTTTGTTTATAAAATATTCACTTTCCATTCAATAAATATTCCAGTCATCTAGTTTTGGATTTGGGGAAATTCATTCTCCTTTTCCCATAAATACAGATTACCGTATTATTTAATAATCAAACCAAACAGCATGTAATCAAAGAGCGCTTGTATCCGCCGTATGTAATATTGTCACGTGACATTGTTATGTTTTGTTTTGCTTGGGAAGCGTTTATTATACACAATAGAACTCCAGTGTAGTAAGCCATAACTATGAACAATATCATGTCCCAAATAAATAATCTAATTTGTAGATCTGCAATTGGTCACATGATGGTCCGAACATTATTTGTATGGCTCTATTTGTTGACAGCAAATACCGCTAATAATTATCTTGGATAAAATACCTCGTTTAGTAAACGAGGCAATTTTACCCAGCCTCGTTCTGAACAAAATACCTCGTTCCAAAAACAGGGCAATTTAAAAAAACACGTTTTGGAACTCCAGAGAAACGAGGTATTTTTTTTACCTCGTTACGAGGCAAAATCGGGGCAAAAATTTTGACACGTTTTTGCCTCGTTTGGACAGAAATGCCGAACGAGGCATTCTGAGGTTTATAGTGTAAAGTATCAAATTTCTTAAATAACCCCTTACCAATATGTACTTAACATATATATGTGATTAAAATATCAAATTTCTTACAGCTTAGTCCCACACCAATATGTACTTAACATAATATGATTATTTAACATTAAAGTAGCTAAGTCTTAAACTCAATATCATCCAAAGTATTCGACATTGAAAACACAAATTATTTGTCAATTTAAATCAACATCGATGATGTGATCTTACCGGGAAAAGATGGGCTTCTGATATCCAATATTTAAGACGAAATAAACATTTTACCATTGGAAAACACATCGTGTACCATAATGCATTTCAGTGACATTTTGTAACAAGGGATTCGAAGAACAAGGCTAGACATTTTCGACAAGTCATGTCAAACGGTTACGCCATATTCTTATCTGGAGAGCATGTGCAATAAATACTACGGTGTAGGCCTAGTCTGGAATAACCAGACACTAGAGATTGCTATTCGATTGAGACTTCTGTCGTATTTTGCCGAACATAACTGATTAGAAATTATACTGAAAACGGAAACGATTGAATGTAAAAAGATTTATATACATTCAAATTACATTATTATATGCGTTGCATCTCATTTGTGTCAATTTCTACGTCCCAAATATTAGCAATTTAGCTCCTTTAATATTAAGTAATGAAAATACCGAAGCTAGATAATATCACAGCTTGGATTCAATTGGATTTATAACAGACCTATAACTACATTATCTTTGTAGATAATATAATATACTGAGCGCCATGGAAAACGCATCACTTTTTTTTCCCAAATGTTTTATTACTAGGTGGTTCTGTATGTATAATATTATGCAATACTATGAACTATTGTTTCACACAATGCTCCCAAACGCACTAGAGATGCCGAGACTTACTGAAAATCAACGGAATGAAGCCATGGGAATGTCCAGGGCTGGCATGTCTACACATGCTATTGCCAGACACTTCAATTGTCATCAGTCCACTATTGTAAGGTTGGTGGAACATGTTCGAGTTTCTGGATCAACACGTGACCGTCAACGTCCTGGTCCACAACGCGTTACAACCCAGGCTCAAGACCGCTACATCAGGGTCACTCATCTGCGTGACAGATTCCACCCAGCGACTCGAACAGGTGCAGCAGTCGTCGGAAGACACGTACCAGTAAGTGCCAACACCATAAGACGTCGTCTAAGAGAAGGAGGACCCCGTGCACGACGACCTTATGCTGGAGCTATCCTCAGGGATCATAACCTTCAGCGGCGTTTGATATGGGCTCAAAGACACCAGACATGGAGAAGAGTAGACTGGCAAAGTGTGCTCTTCAGTGATGAGAGTCGCTTTCATCTTTTCTCACGCTGATGGCCGTCAACGTGTGTGGAGACGTCTTGGGGAACGTCTTGCAGACTGCTGCGTCTTCAAAACCAATCGATGGGGTGGGGGAAGTGTAATGTTTTGGGAGGTTTCACATTTCATCGCACGGACCACCCTACACATTTGCAGGGGTCGCGTTAATGCTGTAGCCTACCGTGATGATGTCTTGCATTCAATTGTTGGTCCGATGTTTCGAGCGCACCCACAACTTCAGCACTTCCAAAAGGATAAAGCGCGTCCGCATACCGCCCGTTTTAGTATGGACTACCTGGCTGCTAACAACATCAATGTCTTGGACTGGCCAGCCATGTCTCCGGACATGGCACCGATAGAACATGTCTGGGATGAGATTGGACGCCGTCTGTATCGGAGACCACAGATGCACACCATTGCTGCTTTAGAAGCTGCTCTTGTCCAAGAATGGAACAATTTGCCCCAGGCCTTCTTTCAAACATTGGTTAATTCCATGCGCCGTTGCTGCACAGCGTGCGTAAGAGCCCGTGGAGGACACACGCGCTACTGACATCTGTGTCGTACCTTTGGTTTTGACCCCTCTGACTTTGTACCGTTGATTACAGATTAAACATCCATAAGTGTACAAATGTGTTGTTATTGATGTGTTCCCATTTGAATATTGTTGACAATAAGAAGCAAAATAAATAAGATCTGTTTACAGGATCATTTTGTTATACGAAAAACTAAGAGATGCGTTTTCCATGGCGCTCAGTATATATTCTATTTTTGAGGACAACTGTTCTGCTCTGACTGGGCTAATGAAGACGGGCATACGCCATACAGTATGCTATAAGAGACACTTGGCCCAAACAGCGGTGTTATGGCTTACTCTTGTATCGAATTCAAAATTCCAAGGGAACTTTTACATGAATGCCAATGTGTACACAGAGCCTCAGTTTTTTGTCCCATCTGAACAACTATACAGCTATCCTTATCAGACCCTCCGCCCTGAACCATGGACAAGGGGAAACCATGTCGGAAAATCTCAATGAACTTTCTCAGCCAACACCAGGAGCGAAACCGCGACCTCCAGCGTCTTACCCACTGTGCTCAGTATTCCTATTAGAAATGTTCAAATATGAAAATGAAAAATAACATCTTGTAATAGAAATGTCAGATTGAGCAGTTCTATCAATATTGGAGAAAGAGAGAAATGGAGCTAACACAAACTAGGTCACTTCGGGACTAACATATGGTTCAATTTAATTTCAATAATTCCTTTCCAAGTAGGGGTCTTTAACAGTGGGAGGAAACAGGAAGACCCAGAGAAAATATATGAGGTTGGACAGGCGACCCTACTCCTTGTCATGTACAACCGGGGAATGGAAACCACAACAGTTGACTCAATGCCAGACCTTATGATACAACAAGCACACACTAACCATTCAGCCATCCACCCCTCCTCGATATATGGAAGACACAAACACTAAATACATATACAGTACTTACTCAGCGTTACGTGATAATAAAGCGATGACTTCTGGATGGGTATTATCAGCACAAACTGTTCTAGATGCTGTTTCACTATTTGTGTTGTTATCCAACACTGAATATGGTAGATGTTGTGGACATTCATCCGTGCAGTTAAACTACAAATTTATAAAATATATTTACTAAATTCAAACGGCCAGGATGAATGAAATCGGGTACATATATCCCAGACAGAGGCCTCCCATTTGCTTAACAACTGCCCATTTTATCATTCCCTACCCTCACCCTTTCAAAACGTTGAATAGTACCACTTACCCTCATTACCAACTTCCCTATCCTCACCCTTTCAAAACATTGAATAGTACCACTTACCCTCACTGACAACTTCCCTATCCTCACCCTTTCATAACATTGAATAGTACCACTTACCCTCATTACCAACTTTCCTATCCTCACCCTTTCAAAACATTGAATAATACCACTTACCCTCACTGCCAACTTCCCTACTCTCACCCCTTTCAAAACGTTTAATAGTACCGTATAAAATGTACAACTTACTATCATTGTATCATTGCCAACTTCCCTACTCCTACAAATAAATTCTACCACTAACATCTTGATTATCGCCATCTTCCCTACCGTCACACGCCCAAATAAAATCTACCATTTACCCCCAATGTATCATCGCCATCTTCCCAACCTGCACCCTCCCAGATAAATTCTACCACTAACATCTTGGTTATCGCCATCTTCCCTACCGTCACACGCCCAAATAAAATCTAATATCTACCCCCCCCCCATCATATCATCGCCATCTTCCCAATCTGCACCCTTCCAGATAAATTCTACCACCATCTACAAGATAAATTCAAGCACTTACCCTCTTATCATCCTCACCGATGTAGATTATGAAGTTTTTACATACCAAGCAATCTGTACTTTCTGATCCTCAACATCCACTTCGACACTCGTCAAAACATGGTTCACACTTCTGTGTCGCTTTATTACTGAATGTCATAGTTGGACAGAAATCTACACACGAATCGGCCTTGAAAAATTTACATTTATTACAATTCATATTACTGGCCCCGTAACATGTCTGACACAGTCGATGACAAGGTTCACACATCTAAAATAGAATTAATAATTTGGAATATATAGTATTTATGCAAATAAAAAACAATTTGGAATATATATAATTTTTTTTAAATAAAAAACAATTTGCAATATATGTTATTTTCGACAGATAAAATAGTGTTTAATGTCCTACTGTTCTGCACCGACTGGGCTAATGAAAACAAGTATACACCTTAGAGCATGCTAATTTACCTGCACGCCGATATGTACATGGAACCTCGGTTTTTACTCCCATCCAAACAACTATGGATTGTAGCATCCTGCATGACTTTGGGGACCCAGACCAGAAAATCCTGATAATTTTTCTTGGTCAACACAGGGATCGAAAACGGAACTTGCAATGTAGCGAGTCAACACCTTACACACAATGAGCTCCCAAAACCTAGGACATTATCCCTTTAACACCACAGTCCCTAAATGACCAAAACCTAGGACATTATACCTCTAACACCACAATCCCTAAATGACAGAAACACAATCTTACCCTTTTTCCACCTAGTAGATTATAATTGTCTATTTTAACGGGAGTCGGGGCAGGAATTAGTATCGGTTGGTAAACATCTTATGGTTTCTGTAAAATGAGACTTTCGAAAACCGACTTCACAAGAGTTACATCCCCCTGGACCCACAATATCAGAATTTCCTGTACATCTGAAACACATAGATTTAAGTAACGTATAAATATAAGTGTGAACCCGAATGAAGCCTTTAACACCTGGATTAACCGAAATGTAACATAAATATAATCAGGGAACTGGGGCGGTATTTATAAAAATTCTAAGAGTTGGAACCAACTCTTAACTGTCAAAAACTACTCCTAACTTTGTAGATTTTCCTAAGACCTATTTATAAAACATTTTACTTTAAGAATTACTCCTAACTATGACACATATTTAGGAGTCCTCCTGTAGCACTCCTAACTTGTTAAAAGTACTCTTAGGCCGTGTTGAATTGATTCCTTGTTTCTCCTGCCACCACTCTGGCAATCATGTGCGGTAGTGCGGTAAACACAACACAAAGTGGGTTTCAAAACACAAAGTGGTCTGGCATAATACCTATATAGTCTGAGGGTTGTGTACCATGTTTTTTTTTTTGTTTTAAAAACGTAAGCGCACGATTTTCGGGGTCCTCGACCTAAGCGCGCGGGCGAGGAGAAACAAGGAATCAATTCAACACGTCCTTATCTTGGTTAACATGGCCGTCCGTGTAAAGAGAGTTTAAAACAAGAAGAGATTTCTTATATAAGGAGATATCGAATGGACATGGGTGGGATTCTTTTTGTGACAGATTTAGTTCGTCATCTACTTACGAGTCCTACTAAACGAAATTTCTCAATCGACGCTGAGATGAAGATCGCCATTACGCTTCGTTTCCTAGCTACTGGTAAAATGCAACTGTGTAGTGGTGACGATTTCGGCGTCAGTCAACCTACAGTGAGTAGAGTGATTGCATGACATCAACACTGAGCTATAAATAACTTCAGGGAATCCCCGGATTTCCCATGGTTACATCGCTAAGAGTTTGGTTAGGACCCAAGTCTTACATTTAGTTAAAAGTAACTCTAAGACCCTTTATAAATATTTCTAAAGAGTAACTTTTAACTAAATGTTGTTTTAGGAAGTCTTAGAGTAAAAGTTATGAAAACTCTAAGAATTTTTATAAATACGGCCCCTGGTTTCAGTTAATGTAGACCAGCAAATGAAATGGGGTTTAACGTCCTACTGTTCTGCTCCGACTGGGCTAATAAAGACGGGCATACGCCATACAGTGTGCTATGAGGAAAATTTTGCCTAATGCTTACATAGGACCTTGGTTTTTCGTCCCATCCGACGACTAGACAGCTATCTATGTCAGACCCTCCGTCGTGCACCACAGACAAGGGGAAACCCACGCTGTAAAATCCAGATGAACTTTCTCAGCCAACACAGGGATTGAACCTGCGATCTCCAGGTTAGCGAGATAATGTCTTACTCACTGAGCCACTGCAAATCCCCCCATGGCTTAAAGGATTAGCTACAGTCTATATAACACCATCATTGACGTTATAAACTTGAAGATGCTTTAAGGCTCTGTATTTTACGCTTACAAAGAAGATGGCTACTCACCCATCAGCACAGTTTTTATGACATTTTCTACAGATATTATTTTCATCTGGGTACATGATACTTGGACACTCTGCTAGACAGATGGTGACATTGTTGTTATCTAAAATGGTAACATTCTTACAACTGTCTCATTGATTCGGTTCCTGAAATATACAACATCAATCTCTCTCGAATATATGATACCATTTTGTTATGGACAACAGTCACTCTGTCAATGGACAACAGTCACTCTGTCAATGGACAACAGTCATTTTGCTATGAACAAAAGTCACTTTGTTAATGAAAGACTGTCACTTTGTTATGGACAACAGTCACTTTGTCAATGGAAGACAGCCACTCTCTGCAATGGAAGACTTTCACTTGGCTATAAAAAAAAACAGTAACACTGCTATTGAAAAGTCACTTGCTATCAGTGCAGGACCTGTCAGGTCATTGACCAAGGCACACACAAGTACGCGCCAAAGGCGTCACGAGCGTCTGGGGGGGGGGTCTCCCCCAAGGAAAATTTAGAAAATTGACAACCGCAAACACATTTTCCAAGCATTTCAGACCAAAGCAGAAGAAGGCAAATGTTTAATTTTCTGATACAATTAGATAACAGAATGACCTAAGAGCACTATCATTAGGAAAGAAGGAGGGGGACAGGTGGACCCAGTCCGGCACTGCTTGCTATATATTGAAAACAGTCACATTCTCATGGAAAACAGTCACATTCTCATGGAAAACAGTCACTTGCTCAAGGAAAAAAGTCACCTTTTCCTATGGAAACGATCATTTCTCATGGCAAACAGTCACTTTCTCCTGGACAACAGTCAATTTCTCATTGAAAACAGTCACTTTCTAAATGAAAACAGTCACTTTCTAAATGAAGACAGTCACTTTCTCATGGAAAACAGTGGAGGAATGACACTTTGCAATGGAAGCCCGCTATCAGGATGCCATCTTGACGTATCTCCTTCAACTTCACCAATTCCAACGATTCCAAATGTGTCATCATAATATTAAGAGCTAGGGCACTGTTTGAAAAAAAAGAAATGAAATGGGGTTTAATGTTCTGCTCCAACTCGGCTAATGAAGACAGGCGTGCACTATGCAGTGTGTGCTTTGAGGGAAATCTTGCTCGGACAACGGCGCTACAACCTACTCTTATTTCGAAATCTGTCAAGGGTTCCTTACATGCATGCCAACGTATACAACCTTTTATTATTTCTGTCAATTATATGAAATGGGATCAGTTAACCCCTTGTATGAAATGGGATCAGTTAACAATCATTGTATTATGATGACACCCATCTATGGTACTTTATTTATGGTTTATTTTTCGAATTGCTTTTTGTATTTATTTACAGAGGTTAAAAGTTTAAATGGAAATATTTAGCACCTTCTTGTAAACCGTTGAATGATTTAAAGTTTGGATTAAGGTTAAGTGAATGTAGGTCAAACATGCCGCCGACATAGTGTGTATTAGGGTGTTAAAGATTAAAAGTTATTCCCTACAAGGTGGTTCTACGGTTCTTACCATACAATTCAGCTGTGAAATAACACAATTTCTTTCATTATGTGTACAACAATAAAACAGTTATCATAGTAACAATTACTTAAAACACTATTATTACTTTTAATTATATTTAACCAGTACTTAAATTATTAATATATTCCTCTGTATACTGAGAGGATATCTACCAAGTTCAAAGGCTACTAATACGTTACTTGTTGATGTTCTAACACCCAACATTTTCTTACAAAATGACCTATGGACCTTTTCTATATTATCGGCTTCCTCCACGACACCATACGCCCCGCGTCCAAGAAGACGAATTCTTTTAAAATATTGAGCATCATTGCACTCGTATGTATGCCCCCCTATCGTCAGGGTGGACATGTTGGGGTTTGGTAGTTGAGGAATTTCCAGTACATCGTGAGGGACAGCTAGTTTAGATAAACGGGGACTACCCGATCCACTTGACCGTGACATATTTACGGATTCTCCTTTACTTAGTGTATTTGACAACGATTGACCACATCGAATTAATCTAAACACCAAATGTCGCAATACTAGAAGTGAAACTTGGTGTGTTTACCCATGAATCACGGTAAATAATGAAGCAGCGAACATCCAGACTGCTCAATAATGATTATGACTAATAATAATCCATATAAGCTTATATACTGGTATGATCGTGACACGCTTATTGATAGAAATTAATAGAAAACGCTTTCTTAGAAGCGCACGTCATAGTCATTCCATTCATAGTTTTCCTAGGGGAAACCCCGTTACACTGTTCATAATAGTTTATACATGGCTCAACCAATCACGCTGTAGGATTATTTTTAGCATTTTAATAATAGTGAGGTGTGGCTAGCTCCATTCAAAATAAACTAAATAGAAAGTATTGTAGTAAACAAAATGAAATGAAATGGGGTTTAACGTCCTACTGTTCTACTCCGAACTGGGCTAATGAAGACGGGCATACGCCATACAGTGTGCTATGAGGGAAATATTGCCCGGACAAC